CAGGTGACACTGTGGAGAGCTGTATCAATAATTAGTCCAAGGAGGAAGAGCTGATTTTCCTCCATCTGATTGATTCAAAGGAAAACTTCCTATAACCTAGTTCACATTTGCTGTCTCTATTATCAATTTCTCATAGTACATGACTAAGCTCAGCAGATTTCCTATTAAAGAGATTTAAATAGCACACTCTTCAACAGATTTAATTACCTTCTTCCCTTACACAAGTCTCTTCCATTTAAAATAGTCTACAGCAAAAGTAGACACTTAAATGTTGAAAATAGTGTCTTGGGGCAGAAGAGAAGATGCTCTGATTTCTGGAAGGGCCCTTGGTAATCCTTGCTCCTTTCTTCTGACTCAAGAAAAGCCTCTTTGCATCTCTGTGAAGGTGAGTTGAGAAGAAATTAAGTCATCTGTTTTTTTTTTTAAGTTTAATTACATATCAGTCAATTCTCTTTTTTCCATTTTTAATTCTAGTAAAATATATATCACATAGAAACTTCCATTTTAGTGATCTTTAGTATATGAGTCATTAGTATTAATCATATCTACAATGTTATCTGACCATTGTCACTAGCTCCAAAAGTTTTCATCACCCTAACAGAATCCCTGTACCCATTAAGGAATGATTTCCTATCCAGTGCCACCCAGCCTCTGGTACGTCCTAATCTAATTTCTTTATAAATTTGCCTATTCTAGACATCTCATATAAATTGAATCATACAGTATTTTCTCTTTTGTCTGGCTTATTTAACTTAATACGTTTTCAGGGTCTGTCTGCTTGGTAACAGGTCTCAGGTCTCAGAACCTGCTGTTTTTATGGCTGGATAATCTGCTGTACATATACCATGCTGTATTTTGTTCCTTTATTTATGTATGGGTGACACTTGGGTGGTTTCTATCTTTTGGCTGTTGGGAGTGGTGCTGCTGTAAATTCTTTTTTTATTATTATTACAATTTTTTTGGTACCAGGAATCAAACTCAGAACCTCGTGTTTTCCAGGCAGGCGCCGTGCCACTGACCTGTATCCCTGGCCCACTGCTATAAATTCTTGCATGCAAATATTTAAGTCCTTATTTTCAATTCTTTTGGGTATGCATCTAGAATGGGAATTAAAATATCATCTTTTTTTTTTTTTTGGTTTTGGTGTTTTGGTTTTTCTCTGGTACTGGGAACTGAACTCACGACCTTGCACTTGCCAGGCAGGCGCTTTGCTGCTGAGCTAAATCCCCAGCCCCCAAAATACCATCTTTTATAAGAATGTGGGCCTGCTTGGATCTGTGCTTGCTTAGGCACAAGATCTTTATGTTTCTGCAACTGTCTAGCCCTCTTCTCTCCCTTTCTTCCTCTTCACCTCCCCCTCTTTCCCTGGATTGACTACATTTCTTTTAGTAAATGTGCCTTCAGATATTTTTCCTATGTACTATTAAAGTTACAACCCTATAGAAAATACATGTTTTGCTGGGTGTGGTGGCACATGCTTGCCTGTAATCCTAGCAGTCAGGAGGCTGAGGCAGGAGGATTGTTGCAAGTTTGAGACCAACCTGAGCTACAAAGTGATCTCAAGGCCAGCCTGAACTGTATAGGAGACTCTGTTTCAAAAAGACAAAAAAAACCCCTGTGCTTTATATTTATTATTAATATAAACACTAGTACACACTTAAGTATTGTTTTTAAAATTGCTGCATTCACTCAACAACATGACACCGAATACTTCCCAGGCCAATAGTCACAGATCTTCAGTAGGTGCAGATCTTCTCATTTGAAACTGCTGCATAGTGTTCCATAACGCCGATAGACACAGCCTGATTGGACTTTCTCCTTTTGATAAACATCTAGGTTTAGCCATGACTGCAAGAATGTTATAGTAAACGTTCTAGCGTGTGTCTTTTTAGACCTATTTGTTAAAGATTCTTGGGTTGGTCTTAAGAAGTGGAGTTGCTGGGACATGTGAAAACTGTATTTTGAATTTTCAAAGTTACTGCCAAATCGGGCCTCCGTAGTCCTGTGACTGATTTGCGTTTCTGTTGGTTGCATGCAGGGGAACCCCTTTGTCTACACCTTCACTGACGTGGGGTCACATGGGCGGAGGTAGCGAGGGGGCCACTCAGGAGTCCTACTCTTGTTCCTTGGTTTGGAGCTGTTGGCAGTGGGCAGCAGTTCAGCCAAGAACTGCATTTCCAAGCCTCACTTGCCTTTGCCTTTTGGTGAGTTGATGTCACCAATGTGCTCAAGTAAAACGGCCCGTGTGAGTCTGTGACACAATCCCTTCTCTGAAGGGAGGCAGCGATCTAGTGGTGTTCTCCAAGGCCCATAGGGGGCAACAGAGCTCCAAAAGGGAATCAGGCTTAGTCTCCAAAAAGGGAATAGAGCACCCTTCCCCATCACTGCTGATTTGTTTAGAGGGAAGATTAAGCCTATTCTTTAAGTCACTGAGCTTTTAAGGTTTTATCTGCTAGCACAACTAATGTTACCTTATTGACAGTTCATCTCACTTTACCATGTTTACCAGTAATTATTGGATAAATATTAATTTGTTTCAATTTGCATTTCCCTGGATGCAAGTGAAATTGGACATATTTTTATACATTTATTTGTCATAGGCACTTTATAGATGACAACTTTTAATCTGTAAGAGTATAAGAAGTTAGCTGTTCTAAGCATTTAAGAATAAATACTTCGCCTTTGATCCCATCACTATTAAGTGAAAAAGGTGAATTCTAAACTTATTTTTCTGGCTCCACAGCCATTTGGGGTGGAGGAGGGGCAGGGTTTGAGGCAAGATGAATATTCATTTACCTTGACAGAGCATTAATCTTTTTCAACAATGGTTTGCATATTGTTGTCTTCAAAGTAGTTGTTCAGATGACCAGATATAAGCATGCAAAGTTGGTCAAAAAATTAAGCACTAACTGTTCCTTTCAATAAACCAATAGAAATTAGTAGAACAATTATCTTAACTATGTTGTATGTGTATGTGTGTGTGTGTGTATATATATATTTCCCTTTCTTCTTTCTTTTCTCCTTTCCCTCATCCCAGTTATTCTTTCCTTTTGAGCAGTTCCTTTCTTTATTTCTGCCATGGAATCATGTCTTTAAAGGAAATTTCATATGGAGGTTTATTAATTAACACTGGTGATTATGGTGATGTTATGACAATGATGAGGATGAGGATGGCGATGATGAAAAGAAAAAGGCAGTGTCCAGGGCCAGAGAATCCATATTACTTTCTTATGTTCATTCATTCAAAAATGTCTGTTGAATATTTGTTATGTTTTTGGTACTATTCTAGACAACTGCAAGGGGCACCGTGCACCTTGGGTTATGCATGAGTGGGAGTTCCTGGAGCTAGACAGCTTGGTAACACTGGCTCATAGATCTTACACTCTAGAGGAATCGACTGATAGTGAATGGACAGGCAAGTGAGTGTGGACTATTGTTATCTAGTGCTCTACTGGTGCTATGAAAACAAAATAAAGCAGGGCAAGGAGTGCAGAGTGAGACTCCTCTAGTTTATTAGAAATATAAAAACCCAGCAAAGGGTGAAGTGAAGGACTGTAGATAGTGCGGAATGACATTTCTGAGCACACCTCGATTGTCAGCTGGACACAGGCTCCTCTGGGCTTCCATGAGCACTGATTATAACCACAGCAATCATTCTAAAACTTAGCGGCAATTAAAGTCACCTGAACAATTTTAAAAATTATTAATTCCTGAGTCTTTTCTCCAAGAATTCTGATTTAATTGGTCTGAGGTGTTACCTAGGCCTCAGGAATTCCTCAGACCTCCCTCTCTCATCTGCTGAAAGATCTGGGATTAGAGAGAAGGCGAGCTGACTTCGGCTGCTCTTCAATGTGAGGAGTTGTCTTGGGTGTTCCCCTTCTCACCTCCAGACAGGAACAGAATTGCAGAAGTGTTTGTAGACAGGTTGATGTGGCATAGCTGTGCATTTGGTCTTGTGACCAACTACCCTAGGTCACTAATCGCCTGATGAGTTGCTAGATTGGAGCAAGAGTCTCTAAAAGTTCTACTAGCATGTGACAAGTTCCTTGTTTGATGTCATTCACTTGCATCTCCATCATCTGCTTACATGCAAGATTGACATGCTTTTCTCCTCAGTGTGGTTAACAGTGGCTTTTTCCAAATCAGAATGCATCAGTGAGTTTGTCCCAGTTACACCTCTTGTGAGATCTTTTCCTAGTTCCGACCGCTTATTAGATGTATGGTCTTAAGTAGTTTACAAACCCCTTGTGTTTTTGACTCTCTGATCCATGAATGGGAACAATGATGTCTGCCCAGAGTGCAAGAAGGATTAAACAAAGGGTTAAATGCAAAGCATAGAGTGAAGTTCCTGGCACCTGGGCTGCACAAATAGTAGTCCTCTCTCTCCATAACAATCCTAAAGCAGTTATTGGGAGTTATGCATAGAATTCTCCAAAAATTCCCCATGAGAAATGCTGTTAACTTGCTAAGCTTCCCTGATTAGTTTTCCCACCCAAAGGCCATGGACCCTGGCCATATTTTTCTTTTTTGATTTGCCTTCTGTTTGCCCAGGACTGGCTTGGCCCAGTCAGTTGTGATCAGTAACCACACAGTATGAGTATGGCTGCTTCCAGAGCAAATGCGAAGGAGGGATTTTCAAATCCCATGAGGGGAATTTAAAGATTGACTGTAATTAATGACATAATTAAAATATAATTTTCTCTATTGATCCCAGAGGAAAATAACAACCTTCTCCATCAGATGACTTGTATTACTGCTTATGGTTGTGGCAGACAACATTTTCCAAAGATGGCTGGTACTGCAGACCCTATCCCATACATACTCTTCAAAATGGGACATTAACAGTCCTCTCATTGAGTGGTGGGGTCCACATTCTCTCTCCTGGAACTCTAGTGGACTTTTGTGACTACCCAGTCAGTGTAGTACAGCAGAAGGGAAGCTTTGTGGCTTCCAAAGGTAGGTCATAAAAATTTCATGCACTTCTCTCTTGTTCTCTTCAGACACACTTGGAATCCAGCCACCAGGTTGTACAGAAGCTCCAGAATCCCCAAGGAGAAGATATGTGAGTGTTGTGAAAGACAGGTGATGTTCAGCCACCAGACAAGAACCGCTATCAGGCACGCAAGAGAGGTCAGTCTTCAGGTGACCACAGCCCTTCACCCTTGTTATCTCAGCCTCTAAGCCACTCTGGTTGATGCCATGTGGGACAGATAAACTATCCTCATTGAGCCTTGTGCAAATTACAAATTCATGAGAAAAATAAAGTTTTTTTGGTCATTTAACAAATGCTAAGTTTTCAGATGGCTTATTACTCAGTAACTAATAATGAACACCGTGGTCATTTTTATCCTGCTGGTATATGATTACCCAGGGTTAAAGAGGGCTCTTTAGAAGGAAACGGCTCATACCTTGTAGGCAAACCTGTGCCCTAGAGTAAAAACTGAAATTAGAGGTCAGGACTTCAGGAGGGAATGTGGAATGAATACATCTTCCCCCCGTGCTGTGGGAAAGTACTTTCCTACCCCTCCTGGACTAGGAGCTGGCAGGTTAAGGTGAATGTGTTCATTCTGATCTTAGGCTTCAAGCAACATATCAAGTTCCTGCTGGTCATCTCAAACACTTGTCATCCACACAAGAAGAACATGGCCTGGTAGTCACTTCTGTGCCAGCCTCAGTCCCAGAATGAGGATACATCACAGCCCTTGCCCAGACCAGAAGCCTGAGGCCACCTGGGACAAACTGAGTCGCAGGCATGCCACAGCCAATCCACATACCAGTGTTTCTCACTATGAGCCACTCAGAGCTTGAGACCTTTTTGTTTTTGCAGCACTTGTAACTTCTGTAGATCTGTCTCAACTGCTTTGGGTCCTGGTTTTGCTACTGGTCAACTGTGTGGCTTTGGAAGATTTACTCATCATCTCTGAGCTTCAATTTTCTGTTCTCAGAACAGGGATAGTAAGATCTAGTTCAGAAGATATTGTGAGGACTGAGACTGTTTGTAAGTTACACAGGGGGCAAAGTTGAACTATTTGTTCACTCTTCTTCCTAACTTTTACTCACATTCCTATTGGGACTCTGACAGGTTTAAAAACCTAATGAAGACATTTCTATAGATTTCAACGTAACAACCTCAAAACTCAAGCTGTATGGGTCCCCAAGCTGCATGGACAATTCTAGGATCCCCCAAATCAGTTCTGGCAGAATCTCACTCTCCTCTGGAAGCTGTCTTGTTTTGATCTGTGGATATTTTCTTTCTTTCCCTTAGGGTTTAGCATTTTTTTGTGTTTCCGGCTATCTGAGCCACACTGAGAGAACTGAGATCAAGAGGAGTTTGCTCCCAAGTGGGTCAGGGTATGACCAGGGAGCATCATGGCCCTGAGGGCAATGGGCTGATGGCATCAGAGCTTTCAAGGGGAAAACTGAAACTCAATTTTCCCACCAGAAAAATTTCCTCATGTTATATCTCAAATGCACACATGCGTTGTAGGTCAGGATCCAATCAGAAAAGCAGAGCAGCCATGAATGATATGAAGTAAGAGATTTGGGTTGCAGTTAAACCTATACAAATGTAGGAGGAGCTTGGGAAGCACAAGTCCAGGAAGGGAAGTGGGAGAACTGGATGAAAGTCTTTTAGCAGCCTCCAGAAGCACCAATGTGGGAAGGCAGGTTGAAGCTTGCAGAGGAAGTGGGCACACCAGCTGCCAGGAAGCTGCAGAGGGAGGGGGATCTAAGGAAGGCTGCTGTCTCTCATGGCTGTGGTTTTGGTGAGATTGCAGCCTAGTGTCAGAAGAAAGGTTGCCATTAGCCAACAAAGCCCAGACTTGTGAAGAACTGGACCCAGGGAAGGGGAGAATCAGGATGAGGTAGAAGCCACCAATACCTAGTTGTCTTTGTCACCAATATGATAGCAATAGCTTTCAGGGAATAAAGGCTGCTGATTTTCTTCTGCCTTACATGTCTCCTGCACATTCTGCTTCAGGCAACTCAAGCCCAAAATCACCAGAGCAGGGGATTCTGGGATGCAGCCGCGGTGTAGCCAAGTTGATACAGTGCAAAATCACTATACATGCACACAGGAGGAAGCAGTACATACAGGCACACATGATTACAAAATCCACACATGCATCTATGCTTGCCAGGACAAATTCAAATAAAATCATAACATAAACTAAAACAGGAAAGTTAAACCTCACATTTCCATTTTGGGGTAATATCTTAAAAGTCTTAACTTTTCTATTGATGTCTATCTACATCTATATCATCTATTAATTACATCAGAAAATGTATATACACTTCAGCAGTTAACTGTAACAATAAATTTCTGGAAGATAATGGTCACCACTTTGAGCACCTCTTATAATTGTAGAGGCCAATGGTAACCTGTATTCATCTTATGATGTTTCAATAAATTTAGTATTCAAAATTTATATGTTTTCTTGGTGTATTATACATTCATATGTATGTGTGTCCATTGTTATATTTACATACTTTTTATATATAAAACCAAAATCAGGCTGTTATGGTTGAAACATTGTGTCAACTTGGGGAGTCTAGAGGTTTGGCTAAGTAACTTAGCAGGAAGCCAGAGTGCTTACTTTGTATACATCCTGAGCCTGTGGAAGAGGAGGGCATGGAGATTATGTGAGTGCTACACGCCCCTTAGGTGGGGGTAGCCTGTTTACAAAGTAAGGCAGGGAAAAAGAAGCTGCTTGCCGCCATTCCTCCGGTTTTGCTCTGGCTGTTTGCTGTTCGGCTGCCATTCCTCTTTGCTCTTGTTGCTTTGCTATCTTCTGCCTCAGAGCCAGCCAAGTATGGACTGAAACCTCCACAAACTGTGAGCTAAATAAACCTTTCCTTCCTTCATTTGTGGCGTTGGGTATTTTGTCTCAGCAACGAGAGAAAAGTAACCAAGACACAGGCTATAAATATTCTATTGTAACTTACCTATTCAATGAGTGCCCTATGGACAAGCTCACCTCAGTTTGTAGGGATCTACCTCATTGTTTTTATAAACTGAATTATGTAACATTTCTTTGTGTGGAAATGTGCACACACATATTTCTGAACTTGCACACAATTCCTATAAACCATATTCTTAGAGGTAAAATGTTATTTAAAAATTTGCCTTTTAATGACTTTAAATAAACCATCCCTGCTCAAGTATATACTAATTAGCACACTCATCAAAGCGTATACTTATTTCTTCTGCTAATGTTTAGTTACTTATGGATTGTATCCACCTTTCTAATGTATTGTGTCTTTTTATGTCAATCTGTTGGTTTAGGCATCACGTAAATGTGTTTTCTAATTTTTATTATCTTTTCATTTTGTTTATAGTGTGTAGTTCAGAAGTTTCATATTTTTATGGATTTAGTTTTTCTTTTATGGTTTATAAGCTTAGTAATGTTTAGAGAGAATTTCTACATCCTAGAATTGTAAAACTTTCACTCATATTTTATCCTGGTTCCTTAATGTGTTTCATATTTAAATCTTTAAGCTATCTTGAATTTATTACTATGTGTGAATATACAGTGAAAAATTTAACTGTGCCTCTGAAGAGATCTGGCGTTTGACCTTGGCTTCTGGGAATTCATCTCTAGGCCATTGAAAATGTTTTTCCTGAAAGAAATACCTTGTGGGCTTTGGTCACACTGGATAATCTAATAGTATGATTTTGGTAGTGACCAGCCATATCTCAGAACAGGGACTGACCACACCAGAAATACCAACCATGTGATCAATTGACCTAAAGACTGAAGTCAATCATATGGGCAACAAATCAATCAACTCATTAATTAATTGATGCTATATAATGGAGCGCTAGTAAGAATCTCTGAACCCAAGGCTCAGGGGAGCTTCCCTGGTTGGCAATGCTCTATGCTTACTGTCACCCAAGGATCCTGGGAAAGCAATGCCCCGACTCAGTGAGGAGAGGACCATAGAAGTTCCACATTTGGGACTTCCCTGGATTCCACCCAATGAGCTTCCTTCCATGTTGATTTTAATCTCTTTCTTTCCCCCTAATAAACCATCCATGAGTTTCATGAGTCCTAGCAGATTATTGAAGCTGAGGGCAGTTTGTAGAACTGCCCAGACTTCACAGTTGTCTTGTGTGGATTTTCCCCCTAACATTGCACTTGGCTAAACCCGTGCACTGAGAGAAGGAAGGAACCTGACATTTCTTTTTTCTTTTCCCAAATGGATAACCAATGCTGCCATCTCCCATCCCCACTGACTTGGAAGGAGAGCTCAGTCATACACAAAACCCAAGAAGTTGTTTAGAAGTAAAGTATTGGTTGGTTTAAACATGAGACAAGGCTGCTAAGGAAGTGGGCTGGGACTGGGCTGGGACTGACAGGGTGTGGCTTGAGGTGTTCCTTGGGGCTATGTTGAAGTCCGTGTTGCTTTGAGGGGATAAATACAGATCCAAGATTCTCTATTTCCCTTTCAGCACCTTCGTCTCCCTTAAGCCTCATCCTCAGCGTCCACCATGGGTATCACGCTCTCCCCTGACTTCTGGGCCACCAGCTGCCACACAAATGTGTCCGCAACAGGACACTGATTAGACTCCTTTGGGCGGTACTGTTAAACCATCATGTGAGGGACCCATCTGAGAGTCCTTCTTTCACTGCTGTGTGTCCAGTTTCTTCCCCAGGCTCCTATTCCACATGTCTCCTGATAGACTGTTTATGGACTGGTTGAAATGGTCTCTACAGCTTCACATCTGCAAAGGTCTTCACATGGGGCTCCTGGCCCTAATGGATACACAGACCCTGGAACCCGAGGATTTATCTGGGGCAGTGGCCAAGTTTTTCCTAAAAGTACCAGTTTTGTTTTGATACTTAATCAAAAGCACACTACGCATACTTGCACAAGAATCATCTTGAAGTTAGGGGGTCAGCTCTCTCAGAGTAGAAAGTCATGGGAGAGAACAGCTTTTCTGACCCTCCTGTTTGGGTTCTGAAGGCCTTGCTTCAGCTTTTCTAATTGCCAGTTCTTCATCTCTCCCTTTTCTTTCTGTGGCTGTCAGGATAACACATTTTTAAATGCTCCTTCCTCAAAAGGCCAGCTCATTTTTCTGTCTATAAAGGACACATTCCAATGAGGGCAGTGTCTAAAAATCTAGAAATCTCCCTTCTCAGCTCTTTTTTTCCCTGCTCTGCACCATGGGTCCAACTACCTTGGCCCTCAGGCACCCACATGCTTCGTCCCAAATTTTCCCATGCTGATGTTTGCCTCTTTCAGGCTGGCTGCCTCCAAAGTGACAACTATTGCATCACTCTTGCATTCCTGGGCTCCTGCCACAGCCCAAGGGAGGGAGGGGAGAACAGCCCGACACCTCAGGCAGTTTAAGTTGACACAAGGAACACTAGTGAACGCAGCAGAACAAAATGCGGTTCAGTAGAGAAGATCTAACACAATCTTTTTTTTTTTTTTTTTTTAAGCCAGGGTCTTACCATGCAGTTCAGGCTGGCCTTGAACTCGCTTATATAGGCCAGGCTGACCTTAAACTCACAGCGATCCTCCTGCCTCAGCCTCCCATGTGCTGGGATTATAGGCATGCACCACCATCCCTGGCCCAGTTCTAACCTTTGTGGTCCAATGCAGTGGCCACTAGTCAGAGGAGGCTATTCAAATTTAAATCAATAAAAGTTTTTAAAGAGCTAACAGTACAGTCCCCTCGTACTAGATATTTTTCAAAAATGCTCAACAGCCATATCTGGCCAGGAGCTACCACACTGGGCAGTACAGGTCCTGAATATTTCCAACACCCAGAAAGTTCAAGGACAGTAATCCTTTACGTGCCT